GCCATCCCTAACCAATTGGAAAACAGTCCAGAGGCCCATGACGGTGGGGTGGGTGACAGTTCCAGTGGAGGTCTGTGCTGCATGCAGGTGCTCAGGTCCCTCGAGAGCCCCGCCTCCTTTCTTGATGCCTGTGGATTGACAGGTAGCTGTACGACACAGACGTCTCTCCTCATGGCTGCTGACCGATGCTGTCGGCCTAATCGCCTTGATGCTTTCTTCAAAACAAAGCATATACAGAAAGCCTCAGTGAGAGCCCTCTCTTCCCGCTTCTCTAACCTGCCATTCTTCAGCCTCGTACATGGGCCTGACTGGAAATCTTTAGTCTCTGGTCCAGGTTGTCCCACGGTCTCCAGGCCAGTGGCTCACTGCCACACAGAACTGGCAACTGGTTTCCTGAGCATGCTGTCCCTTGGGAGTGTGAAATCCCAATGCAGAACTCCCAGGTGGATGTGACTTGGGATTGAAGTGTGTTGTTACCAGACCAGGCTGGGCCAGTATACCCAGGTGTCATATTATGTGGCTGCTCTGAGCTCTCTGGGACTTGAGAAGACCGGCCCCCAGGCTGTCCAGGATGTACGTGGCTGAGAGAGACGAGAAGGAAAGCGGGACCCTATGGCTGTGCCAGTTACCTTGGGACAGGTCTTCCCGTAGGCTGAAGGCAGTGGGAGCAGGCCCTTGATCCTTGTGCAGTCTGGAACAATGGCTAGGCATGAGCCGAGTGAGCGCCAGGCTAAAGGGGAGCCCTTCTCTGCTGTGAACTTGGCTGCTTTTGAACAGGACCAACAATGATGGATTTAGCATCTTTGCTACTCTTTGAGTGGAGAGATACTGAGCCCCCCAGTGGGCCTTGCAAGTAGGCCAACCCAAGCCTTATTGGTAGTCTGTGTCCCATTGCTGCTCACTGGGGAGGGCCAGAATCTGGTGACATGCCCTGGCCCTCAGGAACCTCGAGCTTTCCTTTATCCAGTGTCCCTACAGTCCCCCCGAGGCACCACAGGCAGGCTGACACTCACCCGTGTCACTGATGCGGCTTTAGGCTCATGTTCAATGCAGCTGATTTAGCCTAAAGAAGCAGCCCAGGAAGCCATGGCCAGCCCTTCCCCAGCCTCCTGTGTATCTGAGCAAAGGCAATGTGAGCGGGGACCCACAGCTGCCCCCACTAGCAATGTCCATGTCCCCAGGCCCTTCCCACTTGGCCTGTGTTTCTCTGAGGGTACCTCACAGGTCCTGAGTGTCCCCACAGAACGGGGAGGCTCTCCAGGCGTCGCTGGCAGCCTCCCGGGGTAAGGCAGGGATTCCCACTGATAGGGTGACCCCTGGACCTGCTCTGCACTAGGCATGGGTGTAGTGTATCCTCTACACAGTCCGGGCATCCAGGACAGTCCTTTGGGACCAGACCCTGTTACTGTTCCCATCATCCAAACGAGGCCCAGCATAGGAGTGTCGTTTATCCTAAGCTGTACAGCATGTGGGATTCAGGCCCGCACAGCTGCAGATGGGCTCCAGTTCCCAGACTTGCAGAGACCCAGGACCATAGATGGGAGTGAGGGAAGGGAGCCCCTCCTGTGTGAGTGGGCTTCACATTTCCCTCTCCCTGCCCCTCCTCCGTCCCACCCAGTGTCCTCCCATGACAGCCTGCAGCTGGCAGGGCTGGTGCCACCCACGCTCTCCTGTCCCCTGCTTAGTGGCTCCTCTTGCTTGCCACCCCAACCCCCCTGCTGTGAGTCACCTCTGCCAGGGAGCAGGTTGGGGAGGGGAGCACACAAGTGGAGAAGTGGGGGAGGGGAAGGTGCACGGAGAGGGCAGAGGATCTCAACCTTATCTCTAGAGAAAGGGCGAGGAAATGAGAGTCACTTACAGAGAGTACTACAACTGTCACTTCAGCTTGTCCTTTGGGCCCGCTGCATCCCTGGAGCCACACCCTGAGCGTCTCTGTGATCAAAGGTGGGCTGCCCCTCCTGTCCCCAGCCTCCAGCTTGCTACTGCTGCCTCTCAGGCATTTTTGGAATTAAACAGGTTGTCACCTGTAATGCTCCCAGATGGTGCTTGTCATGTGGCAGGTGCTTCAGAAGGACGCGTCACATGCTGTGGCCCGGCTGCCAGCACCTGGGGGCAGGCCCTGCCTCTGTCATCTTTAGGGCGATGGACACTAGTTCTGTCACCTGTCAAGTGACAGCACAGAATAGCTCCGTTCTGCTCCCCGAACCCTGAGGGTTCGCATCCGCTCCCAAAAGCTGTCGGAATAGTCCCTGGATCTGGAAGACAGCTTGAGCCTTAAGTCGTACACTGTCCTATCCAAGGGCAGTAAAAGGGGTTTGCATTGGTCCCGTTTCTGCAAGTGGGTAATGCAGACTGTCTGGGGTCTTACAGTGGTTTTCATGGGGCCGCGGGGTGAGGGAGGAGGGAAGCTTTGTCACCGGGCTCTTGGCTGCTTTGCTTATGCCTCTGTAGCGACATTCGCAAGGACACAGTGTGTGGAGGCTGCAGAGGATGCAGGCTTTGTCACAGCCCTTGAACATGGAGGAGAGGCCTTGGCTTTGAGGCTGAACTAGGTCACCTGCTCTGCTGGTGCGGGGGAGGAAGGGTGCATCCTGTGTGGGGGGAGGGGGCTGCCTCACCCTGCTGTGAGTCACTTAGCATGGGTGTGCAGGCTCTGTTGGAGCCGCTTCTTCTCCCAGGTCCCCTGATGGCCTGGGCCTTGCTGGCACTCAGCCCTGGGCCCCACACATGAGCTGAGCTCGGAGACACCTGAGGTCTGTATCTGACTGAGTAGACAGCCTAGCAAGTCAGGTAGGCCTGCATACTGAGATCATGGCAGAATCACCTAGAAAAGCTTCCAGGCCTCGGCATTCCCGAGGGTGGCATCTCGGGACACGGCACTATCATTAGAATTCAGGCAGGCGGGTGGATAATTGCAGGCTCCGCTTTAGTGAAAAATTTGAGTAAAATTGTGTTGGGTATTTTTTGTTTTGTTATTTTCTGATAAGTACTTTCATGGGAGTGTGATGAATGCTGCATTCTATCTGAGGGGTGTTCCTCTGGCAGGAGGAATAAATAGCGCGTCTTTTGCCTGAGTTTCCCTAACCAGCCCCTGGGTTAGCAGGTGTGTAATGTGTGTTTGTGCATGTCTGTGTGTGCCGCTGCCAAAGGAAATGAGCCAGCTTATCTACAGCCCCCTAGGTGCCCTTTTCTTGTTTGGGGTGCAAATTCCCATCTCGTGTTTGAGCTCCTAATAGGCTATGGGACCCAGGAACTCACTCCGTCTCCAAGAGAAAAAGATGGGGTTGCTCCCCATCACCCCCACGCACCCCTCCTCTTCTGTTGGCATTCCACAGGGGGCTGGAGTACAGGGTGGATGATCTCCTTGAAGGCGTGGGGAGGCCAGGGCTTCTGGTGACAGCGGGCTGAGGCCTGGCTCTGGGGAGGAAGAAAGCCTTCCCAGTATGTTCCAAGGACCTGCCTGTTGTAGGCATAGCTGCCCTGTTTCCACAGCAGTCCATACCCTACACCACGTGGATCCCATCTCAGGCATCCAACCACAGAGAAGACTCAGCCAGGCCTGAGTTCCCGCAGGGACAACTTTCTCCAGCACTGGGGACCAGAGACCCGAAGACTCCTTTGCACACCTCCCAAACAGCATTTTGTAACGGGTGCCTGCGGTCTTCCTTTCTGTCAGTCCTAGGGAGTTCCCATAGTGAGGAAGGCACCCCTCTGAGGTCTGGATTGGCACATTCATTATGGGCTCGCCATTCTGGGAGGGGCTCAGCACTCAGCAAGAGGTAGGGTTCAAAATACCAGCTCCACCCCCTCCCTGCCCACCCCCTCCCAGTCTTGGCAGGGAGGCAGCCGCTGTCCTTAGTGCTAGTGCTGAAAAGCCTGCCTTTTTTTCCTTCTTCACATACATACGCACAGCAGCAGCACTAGTTAGCAAGATAGGGTGTGCATGAGCTGGAGCGAGAGCTGCGGTTTCCTTCCTGCCCGGCATTCCACTCTGAAGCTGAGGCTGAGGCTGTGGCCAGGTATAGGCCTCCCTTCTAGACAGGGGGCTTTTGGGGGCTTTGCTATTGCTATCTCGATCTGCCTTTTTTTTTCTTTTTTAAAGATTTCATTTTATTATTATCTTATTGTGTGAGTGTTTTACTTGCATATATGTCTATGTACATGCATTTGTGGTGTCCTTAGAGGCCAGAAGAGGGTGTGGGATCTCATGTTACTAGATTATAAACTGCTGTGAGCTGCCATGCGGGTGCTGGGAATCGAACCCTGGTCCCCTGGAAGAGCCCTTAACCACTAAGCCACCACTCCAGCCCCTCGATCTGTTCTTAAAAGCTTCCTGGAACCTTTGTTTGGTATGTAAAACTCTGGCTAATAAGTTGTTCCATCTTTGGGGGCCTTAAGGAAGGCATGATAAAGAAGCAGTCAGGACCGCTGGCCCTGTCGGGAGGAGATGGGTATTCGGCAAGTGAGCCAACTCTCAGTCCTTCTGAGAACCAGGATCCAGATGTCTGATGGCCGCTTGTCTCAGAGCCAGATCTGTGTCTGGCAGGGCAAGCAGAAGCAGTGGGCTCTGGCCTCTGAGGACACATGCCTGCTGCCACCTGGCAGACACATTGTTCGACAGACCCCACAACTAGCTAGGAGCGGAATCAGAACAGTAAATGAAAGATTCAGTCAGTGTGCTGCTAATGGAATTCCTGTTCTTTACATTGTTGGGAACACTCTCGGCCCAGAGTTACGTTACTCACTGCCTCCTATGTGTGTCTGTCCCAGACACCAGTTCTTTATGGCTCTAGGTACCCACACCTGTCCTCTCCCTTGCAGCCAGCCAGGTGGGTGCCCCGGAGGCCAGGCAATGGGTGGACTCCTTCATCAAACCCCCTGGGTAGCCTCTTGTTTGGTGGCTGCTACACACACACACTTGGGGACCTATCTTGATGTGGCAGCCATGAGTCCTCAGCTGCTGAGAAACGAGGTGATACCTTGCCCTTTTCTGTTGCCAGATCACCAGAAACTGGAGAGAGAGGCTCGGATCTGCCGCCTGCTGAAGCATTCCAACATTGGTAAGCAGCCCAGAGGCGGGGCAGAGTGGGTGGTTCTGAGAATGCCTACGGAGATATTTAGCACGCAGAACCTGGGGCCAGTGACCTATGCAAGCCCCACACATGGGGTGAAGGGTCCTGCCAGGACAGTAGACAAGAGTCTCTCAGCCCCGTTTACCCGCGGCCTGCACAGATGGGAGCCAAGACAGGACAGTCAGGATGCTGGCTCCCCTCCCAAATCTTGGTCTCCAGAAAGCACAGCTGCTCTGCCTGTCAGTTCCCTTCCTAAAGCCCAGACAAATGTTCAAGGAGCTGCAGGGACCAAGGTTGTGCTGACCTGGAAAGGCGGCTCAGATCTCCCTAGCCACCCAGTCCTTCCGTTGCTATGCATGTACACCCGTAAGTGCCTGTTCTCCCCAACTCTGGGCCCTCTGGAGTTGAGGAAGAGTTTGGGAGCTCGGATCTTACCCATGCTGGGGAGTAACTGGAGAAACCTTGGGTGTGGCTGCCCGCATCTACAGATGAAGTGCTGGCTGACCTCAGAGACCCTGGGAGTTATCCGTGGATTCCTGGGCTTTTCCCCGCAAAGATTCAGTTTTGCCAGGACACAGCCCAAGAACACATTTTAAAGGGATCCTCAGGGACTTTGAGGAGTGGCCGAATTGGGAACCTGGCTTCTACATCTCTGTCCAGCCCAGGGGCTGACAGATAGGGAAGGTTAATCTGCTGGGGGAGTGTGGGAGTTCCTGCTGCTGTCCCGCTTCCAGGTGCTGGAAGTCTGCACCTGGCCACCTGCACACACCCAGCTGTCCCAGGAAAGCTGGCTGGGGAGAGCTACAGCCTCCATTTCTGAGCCCCTCTGGGTCTCAGCTACCAGTTGATCCATCTTAGCCTCTTAGTTTCAGAACCTTACCCTCTTTTTTTTTTTTTTTTTTTTTTTTTTTTTTTTTTTTTTTTTTTTTTTTTTTTTTTTTTTTTTTTTTTTTCTTTT